CCTGTAGTTCCCTTTTTTAGTTGCATCTTTCCCTGGTTTGGGAATCAAAATGATACTTGCTTCCAGGAATGAGTTTGGAAGTATTGCTTCCCTTTCAATTTCATTGAAAAGTTTGAAGAGTAATGGCAGTAGTTCTCTAAATGTCTTGGAAAATTCAGCAGTGAATCCATCAGGACCTGGGCTTTTCTTTGTTGGTAAATTTTTAATTGCATTTTCAATTTCACTGACTGTAATGGGGCGGGGGGGAATGTTCAAAGTGTTCACAGCAGAATAAAAGCTTGCGAAGATAGAATCTCATATATAGAAGATAGGGTTGCAGTCAATGACCTTAAAAAGAAAGGTCTCTTAAAAACAATAAGGGATCATGAGAAATCAATCCAACAACTCCTAGATGATGCAAAGAAGAATAACACAAGACTGATAGGAATCCATGAAGTAGCAGGAGAAAATGCAAATGACTTAAAAAAGCTGTTCACTGAACCGGGCCTGGTGGCTCTATGCCTGTAATCCCAGCACTCAGGAGGCTGAGGCAGGAGGATCGCTGTGAGTTCAAGACCAGCCTGGGCTACATAGTGAGTTCTGGGTTATTCTCAACTACATAGTGAGAACCTGTCTCAAAAAAAGAAAAAAAAAAAAACAAATGACTTTAAAAAGCTGTTCACAGAATTAATGACAGAAAACTTCCCAAACAGAGGGAAAGAATTTGACATACAGGTAAGTGAGGCATATAGGACTCCAACTAGCCATAATAAAAAAAAATCTATACCTAGACATATAATAATCAAGATCCCAGAAACCCAACAGAAGAACAAAATACTACAAGCAGTAAGAGAAAAGAAACAAATCACATGCAAAGGAAAGCCTGTCAGAATCACAGCAGGCTTTTCAGCGCAAGCCCTCAGGTCAAGGAGAGCCTGGAATGAGGTATTTCAAATCCTAAAAGAAAACAACCTCCAACCTAGACTGATGTATCCAGCAAAACTCTCTTTCAAAATGGATGAAGAAATAAGATACTTCACTGGTGTGATAAACTAAAAGTGTAAATAAGGTTCAAAGTGTATAATTGATATTGTGTAATAGGATGAAAAGGTCTAATGGTGTAAGGGAAGTAAGTGTAAGAAGTAGGGGAAAGTAAGAGGGGGACAGAAAAAACAGAAAAGTGAAATAAATGGAAACAAAGTCTTTGTAAATAGGGTGGGGTGGAGGAAGTGAAGGGAGGCTAGGGGAATGGGGAAAAAGTAAGAACCAAGATACTTCATGCAAAGATAGAAGATCCCAATGATGAATGTAACTCTATTGTATACCTAAAATGTACCAAAAAAAAAAAAAAAAAAAAAAAAAAAACAC